AATTCTCAACAGCACTAACTCACAATATTGCATCGATTAAACCTACAGTCTCAATAAATTTTAGTTTCTTTCATCATGTCAATTTACGTTTCTTTGTCAGTAAAAAGAGTCAATGATATTGACTCAATCTCACGATACTCATCATTCTTGTGAGCAGTTATGTTCTCACAAAGTAATTGGAATGATATCCATTCCATTAACACATCTTATTGATGCCTTTACAACACCAACAACGTCAAAAAAGCTAACATCACTAATCAGTCAATTATCGCGAACAATTGTTTAAAGATGAATTCTCATAGATATCTCCTGTTTATTTATTCACTTCTTTCTTGTTGTGATAATTTAATATAGTTCACTCAATAAACTTTTCATGTGGTCGTTCCTGATGATGTTCTCAGTATGAGAATGAAAGCTCGAATCCTATCTTTTATTTCTGATTGAGATAAAACTTTGAGATGATATTTGCAGCAGTCCTCACTTTCTTGTCTAATTTATTTCCTACTGCTCTTCCTTCTTCCTTTACAACAAGCAAAAATCGTTGCGGGAGGAAACGGAGATGGAAGCGAATTAAATCAGCTCAAATTTCCTAAAGGTATTTTTGTTGATCAATATCAAGGCATTTTTATTGCGGATGCTGATAATCATCGAATTGTTCAATGGAAATTAAATCAAAACAGTGGGAAAATTGTTGCTGGGGGAAAAGGAAACAGAACTGATCAGTTGAATGTTCCAACAGATGTGATTGTTGATGAAGAGAATAATTCGTTGATCATTACTGATTGTTGGAATAGAAGAGTTATTCGATGGTTTAATGAAACAAACAAGAAATTCTCATCGAAAATATTGGATGTTTTGGTGTAAGAAAGGATAAATTTGGATTTGTTTATGTTTATGTTTGTGATTTTCGGATGCATGAAGTGAGAAGATGGAAAATTGGAGAAATGAAAGGAAAAAAAGGAATCGTTGTTGCCGGTGGAAATGGAAAAGGAAATCAAATGAATCAATTGAATTTACCTCATTTTATCTTTGTTGATGATGAACAATCGATTTATGTTTCAGATTCAGGGAATCATCGTGTAATGAAATGGAGAAAAGATGCGAAAGAAGGAATCGTTGTTGCTGGGGGAAATGGACAAGGAAAAGAACTGAATCAATTAATATATCCTCAAGGAATCATTGTCGATGATTTTGGTCAAATTTATGTTACCGATAGTTGGAATAATCGAATAATGCGATGGAATGAAGGAAAAAGAGAAGGTGAAATCATAGTTGGTGGAAATGGAGAAGGAAATGAATTAAATCAATTACTTGCTCCCACTTGTTTATCATTTGATGTTCAAGGAAAACTAAAAGCCAATCGAACTTTGACAAATTTTCTTTCAAACTGATCATTTTCTTTTTTTCCGATTTTTTTTCAAATTTTTTCAAATCAAAATCTTTTTTTCTTTCCGAAATAAAAACAAAAACATTGATTTTTGATGAATTTCTCGAAATGATTTGAGACAACAAGTTAGAAAGAATTGAATAGAACAAATGAAAATCAATGAGAAATTTCATTTTGAAAAAAAGGAGATTGTCTTTGAATTAACAAAAAGAAAAATAATTCAAATTTTGAAGAAGAAAAGGAAAATTTTCCTAAAAGAATTGATTTTTTCAATATTTCATTGAACATGAAAATATTTTTATTCTTTTATTTCAAATTCTATTTGAAATCATTTGAAGTAAAGCAATCGATCAATGGTTCAACAAAAATGCAATATATTGAAGAGAGAAATTTGATTCTTTTAGTTCTTTTTCATTGTGATATTTCCAAAAGTATTGTATCATAAAGGGAAAAGAATAGAATCGAAGTTTTTATTACCTTAAAGATTTCAAAGAATTGCTTGTCGTAATTTACACCATTGTAATGATCATTGGTTTGCAAAATCATATTCATAACTAAACGCGATAATCCTCGATAAAAGATGAATAATTAAAAATATATATTTAAAAATACTGATGGTGTTTGACGATATGTTGAAATACTTGAAAATATATAAATATTAATTGTATTATCAAAGATCCAGAAGTAAGAAAAATAATTTCACTATATATCACAATTTGTTGAGAAATATAGTGGCAAGCAGAGGTGAGTACAGGACAACATTTTTCATCCTGTCCTGCCTGCCGCTCCGCCACCACCCGTCCTGAGGTGCGGGCAGGACATATATGAAATTTTTTTAGTTCAAGAGAAAATTGAACTTCTGATCTTTTTTTTACAATACATCTCTATAGCATAAATATCACGTTTATTTTTTTGTATTTATTAGTTATATCAATGAATACAAAAGAAAAGAATGAATAACCATTTGAGGAAACACGTATTATGAATGAAAGTATATTATATAGAAGAGTCGAAGTGAGAACGACGTAATATTACGTAAAAATAACTATGATTAGTATCAATGGTATAAAATGAGAAGATGTGAGAATATGTGTTTCAAGAACATATAAATACGAATAGTGAAAGTTCCTATACAAAATAAGGCAATCATTGTTAGAATAAACTTTCCTATTGTCTCATTGATCTTATCGGCAATATGTTGCTCTATTGCTCAGAATTTATACTCGTTCTTCTTTCTTATGTAACTAAATCTGCGTCTGAGGATTGTCTTTCTGCACTTGTAGATGGTGATTCGTTTTTTATTACTTTGCAAAATTTGACAACCAATCGGAGTAATTGCACGATTTTTCCACATTCAAAGAAAACTCATTTAATGAAGAGATATATGTTACATCCATAATTCACTTTTTTCCGAGTTCAGTATAAATCTCAAAACAAAAACAATCGAGCTATTATGAAGAAATATTTGTATGTGAAGGGAATTAGTCCGCGTTGACTCTTATCTATCCACATTCGACATTCTACATATAATCAGTTTGCTTCTATGCATGATGTAACACTCGTGTTTATCTCGACGAATCGTTGTCATACAATATTTGACTTTGCTTTGATGACCTTCGTGGGAAAAAATAGGAATACTGGCCGCTATGAATTACCAAAATCATGCAAAACCGTTAAAGTAAAGTTTGTAAAAATTTATCATACCGCACGGCAGGACGAGGTAGTTCATCCTGTCCTGTGCTCAGCTCTGCCTCACACCCGCAAATTATCTATACCTCACCCTGATCTGTAAAATTAAACCAGCGTTGCCTATGCAACATGTTTCTACATTCTAAAATGAGATTTTAAAAAAAGCATGTTAAATTAATGAAGCGAATGATTTAATGTGTCAAAATAAGAAAAAATAATGATGTCGACCGTAAAAGCGTTTGATGTTTGGTGAAATATAATGGTCTAACATAGATTTTAAAAAAATATTAATTTTATTCGTAGCAGCTGAAAATAGAGATGTAAGCCGACGGCTCGATCAGCAGCGGCGGCTGATAAATTTCGATTTTTTTCTCTGCTACGGCGGCGGTTCAACCGCACGGCTTACGCCTCTAGTGATAACGTGTTGCTTGATACGAAAAAATATATGTTTATATAGTGCCTCATGAGTATTGAATTATCTTTGTATTGGTTGAATACGTGGATTTCGTCTTAATGCATTATTTAATAAATCACGCATTTGTGGTGTTAAAAAAACGATTAAAATTGATAAAATTGTTAATGAAAATGAGTATGTTAACCATTGTACATGATAAATAATTGAAAATAAATAACCTGTAATAAGATAATACATCCATAATAGCATAGCAGGAAATGCAAGTGACACTACAACTCCAATTAAAATAAATATTCGACGAAAAACAATAATATCGCGTTGAATTGATTGTCGATGATTTTGTATTCTTGATTGATTTGTTGTTCGTTTTATATAATAAACAATATAAAAATAACTTATTCCCATAATTGTTATTGGTAAAAAATACGTATATATAGAAATCACTACTAATCCACGAACATTTGTATATAATAATTGACAATAATGATATTCGGATATATATTCAAATTGATGTGTAAGAAAAGGTGGAATCATAGCAAGAGAATCGATTAACCATTGAATTAAAATAGCTCCAAATAGAAATTTAAAGTTCTGTAAATTTTTATATTTATATAAAACTATTCGACAAAAACGAAAATTCGCTTGTAAAATAAATGAATGATAGATAGTTGAAAATGATACATGAGTGACATATGCACGCATATAACACCATGGATCATCAATAAAAGATATATTTTCATGTAAATCACCGTATATATTATAACTATATGTAATCATCATAAGTAAAGAATTAAATATTATTGCAATATATGTATTAAAAATAAGTAATATTGATTGACCATTAGGAATATGATTTCGATTATATATGATTATACAAGTTATTGATAATGAAATAAGAAATGTGAATGATATGAAGATTAAAATACAAATATCCATAAGAAGATAAATCATACTCGTCATGTTGATTTAGTTTTGCGTAGAAAAAGATGATGTTAGAATCTTTTTATTTGAGAATATAAAATGAGTATGTTATATACATGAACGAACGATTTTATGCATGAAAAAATAAATTATAAGATAGTTTTTTTTCTAATGAAATCTCGATGATAGTTAAAAAGTAAAAAAAAGGTGCGTTTGTTTATTTCTTTTATGGAAAAGGATCATATGATGCGTTATAGCGTTTTCCTAGAAATTCAATATATTCTATATTGTAAGACGAATTTCCCGGAAATCCAAAAAAAAACATTTTTCAAACGTTCTTCATAGTAGTTCCGACGTTTTCATAATGGCCGTATTTGTGCACTTATTTCCCAACAAGAGTATAAATCAAGTTCGTAGTTAGGAAAATGTGCGAACCGGATAACGATGAGAACAAATAGGTTTTTGCAAAATTGATAAATATTCTATCAGTAGAGAACAATACTTACAAAATATTTTTTACCTTCAGTATAGTTAGTACAGTCGAATCCACTTATAAGAGCTCCGTATATAGGAGCGATCCGCTTTTAAGAGCTGTTTTCAAATTCCCCGTTTTTTCGTAATGTATTTTACATTGAACCAAAGTCCGCTTGAAAGAGCCTCGGATACGGGAGTGATTCGCTTATAAGAGCTGTATTTTGGCGTTTTATTTCGATTTTAGTCCATATATAAGAGCTAATATTTATCTATGACTATAAATATACAATCATGTTCGTCTTTTTCTCTCTCCTGTCGGTCGTATGTGTGATTAATTTTTCCTTTCCTTCATTTTTCTTTCTTTGCTATCATATGTATGTGGTGGATTTCTCTTTTCTTCTTCCTTTCTGTACATTGTTCGCCATTTTCGTCGAATCTTTACTTTTCGAAAAATGGCATCTAACAGTGGTAAACGTTCCACATTATCGATTGAACAAAGATTGAAAATCTTGGAAGCACTGAAATCCAAAAAAGCAGACGATGTGGCGAAATATTTCAACATTGGCTATTCTACGGTGAAGAAGATCAGGCAAAACGAAGAAGAAATTCGAAAAGTCGTGGTGAACAATGGTAATTTAAGTCGAAAACGAAAACGCGAAAGTCCTAACGAAGAAATCGGCGAAGCGCTTATTGTTTGGTTCCATCAAATGCGAGCTCAAAATGCCACGATCAACGGACCGCTGATGATGGAAAAAGCCAAGCAATTGGCAATCACACTCGAACATCAAGAACTCAAGCCGTCACACGGTTGGTTGGAACGACTGAAATCCCGCCACAGCATTAAGTTTATCAAAGTTTCGGGTGAACAGGCCAGCGCTGATCAAGCTGGCGCAAAAAACTGGATTGATAATGTCTTACTCGGTGTGATCGAAGGCTATGATCTGAACGATGTTTTCAATGCGGACGAAACCGGACTGTACTACAAAGCTGCACCATCGGGTACTCTCGCTGTCTCTGGAACTCATCCTACTGGTGGAAAAACACCGAAAGATCGAATGACTGTCCTTTTCTTATGCAATTCTACAGGAACTGAAAAGAAGGCATACGTAATTGGAAAATTCAAAAATCCACGTTGTTTCAAGAAAGCTCGACCCCCGTTGCCATACTACAGCAGCGTAAACGCATGGATGACCAGTTAGATTTGGTCGGATATTTTGCAAAAATTCGATCAAGAATTAGGCAAACGAAAAATTCTTCTTTTCGCTGATAACGCCTCCTGTCACAAGATCAATGAAATGTTGAAGAACATAAAAATCATTTTTATGCCGCCGAACACAACATCCCTGATCCAGCCTTTGGATCAAGGCATCATTCGTACGACGAAGGTGCATTATCGTACTCAAGTTATGAGAAAAATGCTTCAAGCGGTCAATGGTGGCACGTCGATAATCGATTATGCTAAATCGATCGATATTTTAAAAGCCTTACATATGCTCAAACGAGCTTGGTTTCTCGTTTCACCCACTACGATCGAAAACTGTTTTCGAAAAGCTAGTTTTTTTTGTTAATGTTAACAATAACGACGTGGACAAATGGCAGGAGGTTTTGGATATATCGGAGTTCGGTAATGCTATACAAGAAGAAGGTTTCAAAGCGTTCGTCGATTGTGATGAGGAAGCCGAATGTTTTGGAACCCTCACCGATGCCGACATTTGCGATTCAGTGAAACTAAATCGAGATGGAACGGTCGATTTAGAGGAAGAAGAAGTCGGAGTTGTTGATAAACCGATACCAGGTGTCTCTCATGAAGATGCGCTGATGCATCTTTCAATGGTTCGCAGGTATTTGGAAGAGAATTTTACAGATTACAATTCATACTATGATATCGAAGACATGATCGAAAAGAACATTTCAATTAATCGTAGTCAACGTAAAATCACAGATTTTTTTGAATAAACTTATGCATCTGTATGTATTACTTAATAAATATTGACAAGGATCAATTTTTTTCACTGTTTTACATATAGTTCGCATTAAGGAGCGACACGGATATAAGAGCCACTTTTTGATTCCCCGACTGCGCTCTTATAAGCGGATTCGACTGTACTAGATAAGTTGACTAATCAAAGATTTCTTAGTGGCAATGGAGAAAAAAGTCGCCTTAAATCTATAAGATACCTTCTGCAGGACATTATTTAGTTCATTTTCGATGGAGAAACATAACTCTTTTTTCTACCGTGGTTTTGGCTTTAAAAAACATTTTCTCATCCATTTAATAGTTTATGTTTGTTGCGTGCTCTTATCATAATCAATACATTCTTCGTCTGTTTGATGAAACATTAAATTAATAACCATAATTAAGTTGCTTCAATTAGTCACTCTATTAAAACTAACATATAATCTGATCAATCCATATACTAATTAATCTTTGAAAAAAGCTTAGATTTATGTATTTATTGTGCTTAACTTTTGCGGTACTCATCATTCCTTTTGCTTATCGATTCTGTGCTCATCGTTCACCAGCCCCCACGAAAATTATTTCATCATTAAAACAGTAAGAAAGACGGATACTCAATGGTTTTTTAAAATTCGCTATTTTCTATCCTATTTGCTGCAAATTCCAATATGACTAAATCACCACAAATTTTCGATATGCAACAACAGATGTTGGTTACCGTGCTGTAAAAACGATTATGTCATCATTGTCTTTATCGACATCACTGTATCTATCGATGGTACACATGGAAACGTCGAAGGCATATCTCAAATTTTGGTATTATGTGTATGTCACTGATGTTCAATCAAGATTATGCATTGACTATGAAATAATGTCTTTATTGTGTAAACTATGTATAATGAAACAATCAATAACTATGATGGAACATTCAAATCTTTTTCGGATGATATCATCAATAATTTTAATCGTGTGAACGCAATCATTGTTTGAACATCTTCAGTAAATTCATGCGTTGGTGGTAAAGACTTGCGAAATATAGAAAATGCTTGTTCATAACCCTAGTCCGTCCGTGCTTTTTCACGCACTACAATAGCAACAAGTAACGCTCATCCTTTGGATTCGCTTACCCTTTTCTGAAAGATTTTTCCTAATGCTGAACACATTCAGAGACTTTGAAGGAGAAAAAACGCACTGCGATTGCTACTAGTGCTCAACTTAATCATGGCACTATGTCACACACTAGAATGAATAGGATGCAAAAGTCTTTTTAGGAATCAGACCGATTAGCCATTTGTCAGTGGATAATTCTCCAGCACTAACTATGTCGACTGAAAAATTGATCGCTCAACGGCTAGTCAGACGGCCACTCACGGCCAACCATTGACCTTTGTCATCTGTTTTTCTATTTTCACATCACGCGCATGGAAATTTTCATAAATGATTTACTAAGTCACTCATAAACGGATGATATACAGTAGACTACTTGACAAGTTTGAACATTCGCCTATGTCTTCCAGCGATAATCCGATTCTTTTGTCTCCTGTCAACGAAATGATACCTTGTCGAATATTTTCATTGAGGAATATCGATTCGTCAAATCCCTTTCAAAATCATCCGAAGCCTGGCAAGGTTATTCTAAGCGTTCACTTTAGGATTAATCTAGCATTTAAACGCCTAGTCGTTCGTCGACTTCCCTCCGGTCGGTCACTCACGGCTAGCCGTTGCCATGCTGTCTCTGTTGTTCCTTTCGCCTTCGCTCGCCTTTCAAACTGAATGATTGGGTTTTCTTTTATTGTCGCTTCTACAGTCATGATCTTCTATTCATTCGACTACCAAAAGAAACTAGATAAGAAAGTCTTATTGTATGATTTGCTTCGAAACGAACATCTTTCATAGCGCTGCATGTGTTCAGAATACTGTTTCTACAGTCCACGCGTCTGTAATTACTAAGATGGAACTCCACCGACGGGTATATCACTTTGTGAACTACTTCTACTAAATTCCCATAAAAAGACATGATGTATGTACCCTACAAAGCAAAGATGCTAACGTAAGCTCGTATCACTTTTTCGGATTTCTTCAATTAGAAACATCATTATGTACAATGCATTAGATCTTTTCGTGTAAGTTCTTGAGCTACTATCTTTGCACNGATCGCATGATCATCTGGCTCATCAACTCATTGTATGATAGCGATAGATCTTAGATATTATTTATAAAGCTTGATATTTTTCTGTAGCGTAATACTGTATGTACTGAGAACTATGAAAGGATGAGGAACATACAGTAGAGTTTCTGATGTTTTTCCGTCAAATAGAGCTTCTGATTCCGAGTCAGAATCAGTATTTTGATGGTTGAAATACACATTGCGAGAGGGAGAAACGCTCTCCTCCATGTTCGCAGATATGTGCAGTGGGATATGTATGGATTATGGGTGTGATTCTTAACTGGGAAGTCGCTTTTACGATCGATTGTAGATATCGTTCGTAATTTTTCGTGAAATAGAGATTGTGTTTCGCAGTGACAAAGGAGATGTGATGCTCAGAAATTCTGTTGTCAGACAGAAAAAGGCTCACGGGTATGTTGTTAAATTTGGTCGACATCGGTATATGTGCAGAGGAGGTGAGAATTTGATGCTAAAGTCGAATTTTGTTGTTTATTGGAAGGATTCAAATGGAAGGTTTTTATATACAAGGGGAATGTAGTTTGGATATTGAGCCTCATGATTCTGGCTATTACATGGTCTGTGAAGTGAAAGAAGATTCATTTCAACGTTGAATAAGAATCTGCTGTGCTGATGGAATCGGGTAGCGAGGAACTGGAAGGATCGGTGTTTTTACTCTGTGGATAGGAATGAAGATTTAGTTTTGATGCTGTATATGTAGGAATCTGCTTGTGTGTTGTCGAATTGCATGTACTTTGACATTCGAAGAAGTTTTGGTTTTTCCCGATTATCTTGAGGATATTTTTTTGACGCAGTAGTCTTTGTCTAAGGTGGTGTGGTAGAAGCGATGAGTGACCGTTTGTTTCCATGCGAATCAGAATCTGCGCTATTTCTCATGTATTTGTGTGAGCTGGTGGCCGGCATAGTGGGCAGTGCTTGTATAGGACAGGGTTTTTCTTTTATATACAGACATTACTCATTTCAACTGTTGAGCGATTGGAAATGCGGCGACCTGCAGGTGTGATACGGAATGGCCTTAAAGAGCTCTCTGAGCGATAGTTGACATTTTGTTTGGAGCAGCAGTTCTGGTGCAGGTATTTAGGCGTTTTCGTTATAATGCCATTAGAATGGTTATCCGATGAGAAATACGAAATATCTATGGCGAACGCATCACATACGGAGAAATTGTACTGGAAAGAAAAAGTAACATGCTCAAAATTTCTACACTTGCGCTCCTTATCGTTCCGGTTGTCCATTGCACAACACGGTTGCTTCGGTTGCAGCTTTGTACACAAAGACGTTGCTGAATCTGATTTCTGCAATAGGAGTTTGATTAATTTTCTTTTACTCTGATATTTATTCTCCATTCCAGTCGTTCATTTATAGATGGCATTGTCACTTTGACGCGTAAATCTATAGATTATATCTTCTCATTCACCCTTCCTTTCACTCTAATCCACTATCGAGGTTGGTCTCAATCTTTTCAAAGCCTGCATCGCTACTGATTGACTACATCGATTCCCTGTAGCCACTGCAACACCCATAAATGTATACCAAGCGTGGAGCGTTCTTGGAGAAAATGTTTTTTTAACCTTTGACCTTTGACCTGCGGCAGACACACACAGAGACGAATTTCCGTTTTCTGACCACTTTTTTTCGACATAACCCTCCTTTCAGTCGAGGGAATATATGCATAACAACAAATTCAAGATCCTTATCGTAAATGTGACTTTCAATATGGGACTGATGATTTTTATGATAATCTAGACGTAGAAATATAGTTTACATAAATAGAATATAACACTCGTTTTTATGTTATGAGCTCTAAACTCGACTGATGTTGCAAAAGAATATATTATAAGATGCAGCATGACTCGTACTTCTTCACTATAGTTCACAGATTGATAAATGAAAGAATATCGACAAAACAAGAAAAGAAACATAGATGGAAAAGCAATTGGCCCCGATAGTAGTTACGTAACTCCGGAGTAAAGTAAATGTGCCACCCCTAGTCATCCCTAAACAGGTCAAAATAGTTTCCATTTAGCAAAACAAATGTCAAAACGTTTAAGTTGCGTTAAACAGTTGACAGATGAACATATGAAAACACTGTTTTTATTGTTTTGTTGGTAGTTGGGGTGACTTCAATAACACTAATATACCATGATAGAGTAAAAAAATAAATTCCATAAAACTAAATACTTTTTTCTGCTACTGATGTGCAAACCATATCTGTTCACTCTAGTAAATTAGTCAGATAAGAACATGAACATACTGAGTGAAACAATTCCAGTATGTTCTCTGTGATAGCGAGGGTTTATACTTAAAAGAATAAAGCAAAAAAAATAATGGTTATTGTTTCATTTCACTAGTGCAGCAAAAGAGAAAGAAAAAAGAGAGAAAACTGACGTATGTATATATGTCTGAAATATCACCAAAACCTTCATTTTACAGAAACTCATATACTCGACACACTCTTTCTAGTAATGGTTACAAAAAGAATTGCTTTGTTATTTTTGCTTACATTAGTGAGAACAACTATTGAAGAAGCTACAAGATCAGTGAAAATGCATACATTTAACAATCTGACGTTTCAATGTGCTCAGACAACTTGTTTACCATTTGACAATCTCATAACAGCAAAAATTTACCTATGTCGAATTGCTTGTTTAGAAGAAGTCCGATGCGAAGCAGCTACTTACTATCAACTAACCTCAATTTGTTCATTATTTAATGGTACAATTGATCCAAATAGAAATATGTCATATGCTGTGAATGTGGTGACGATGATTAACATTCCTGGAACACGGTTTCCATTGAGTAAGTTTTCGATAAAACATAAACAGATAGAAATTATTTGGAATAAGAATGAAGAATTTGAATGAGATTTGATCGTTTGTATTGGACCGAAATTCAATAACTCTCTCACTTTAGTTAATAACAGATATGTTGTCGTAATCAATCACACATTTGACAGCATCGGTTTTTCACACTAGTATTTGTAATTAAAAGATAATTGCTGTTAGAAACACACAAGAGAATAGAACGATTATGAATAAAATCTTTCTTTCAATCTCCTCTTTGCCAATGAAATGAATTTCTGTAAAAATAGAGCCAACTACGGTATCGTCAACAACATCGACATCATCAACAACAACTGCACCACCGGGTGAGTATTCTTATAAAACGATTTACATCTTTTTGTGTACTCAAAAAGTGAGTACACTACTAAAATCGGTCGGTGTGGCCGTCGGGTCATCCGTCCGTCCGTTTATCCGATAACCCTCCAAAGTCTGAGCAATTGACTGGAATTTTTCTTGCGCTGGTTTGTCTCATGAAAATCTCGGTCGAGTTCGAAGATGACAACGATTGGTCAAGAAATGGGTTAGATATTGTAAAAATTCTAAAAAGTAACCCCACAGGCCCTGAGGGGGGAGTACGAGAATTTTCAAAAAAAATTTCTTTTTCTACCACATACATTGCTATACTCAGTTTCATGAGAGCAATCACGTCCTGAAATATTATCCAACAGACGTACCATCTCACCTTTAAGCCCTGTAGTATGGGGGTATCCATAGGTCATGAAGTTCTATATGGTGGAAGTATTGATGGATTATTTTCTGCTATAGTGCGGGGATAGTTTTAGTCCGGCAGTTTTACATTGATAGCATTCTTGCCTTTTGTCACTTTCGTTTGAATGCTGTATAGCGATCCTGGAATTTTCACGGTATTAGTGTCACAGGAATATCTCGTTTGGATTCGTAAGTTCTAGCTGCTGGAACTTATGTTTAGTAATTTTTTGAAAAATTCTCTTATGAGACTTAGACTTTTCTGTAGAATAATTGTCATACACCTTTGAGAGTATACATAACTTTCGGATCAAATCCGAAGTTTCCGCATTTATTAAAAGATCACTTTGCTCCCTCTGTTCGCGTTTTTTCTTTCTTCTGATATGAAGATCCTATCAATCTCAGTCAAAAATTTGCAGGAAGATTTCTCATCGTTTAGTTTTTTGTCCAGGACACGTTTCTCGATATAGTTTTTATAATCAAATTATTTACTACTATAAGCGAGGCATGCGTAAAGATAAACGAAAAGAATTGATATAAATGAAAATGTTGAATTTCAGAAGAATGCTGTTGGCCAGAACGAATAACTCTTACCATCTCTGATTTAAGTCAAAAAATGTCTGTAAGTTTCCGTGTTGCTAAATAAAGAGTTGAAATTGAATTCATGTTGCGACTCACGAAAGAACATATTTAGGTGTTCAAGCGTTTTATAGCTCATCTTTTCGCCATAAGTAGACCTTGGTGAAATATGAAAAACCTCAAAAGGATTTATCCTCTCGCGTCTTTATTTGCCAGATATCGAATTTCCAAGTTACATATGAAAATCGACAGGGAAAGAATAAACCCTTATTTCTGAAAAAATTAATAGGGCATCAAAGGCGATATAAGTTTGGTGTGAGATACGCTGGAGGTTATGTTTTACTGTTTCCTATCGTCGTTTTTGTTTGCCAGTTTTCGGATTGATCTCTTCCTAAAAACTAACCGCACGAATCTTGTAGTCAAGAGAAAATTCTTTGCACAATGGTTTGTTCTTGTCATCCTCTTCAACTTCTTTTTCGTAATCTCCTTCGTTGATCAATTCACTTTCGCTTGGTTTTTTGCTCCGGGGTTGCTTTAACTTCGAAAGTGCGTGAGTAACTGTTGGCAATGGACTCCGTAGTACCACATAGCAGCTCGATTACTTTGCACTCACGATTTGTTATAGTATTTCCGCTAGGCAAAGTATTCGAAAAAGTAGATGATGATAAGTTCAACGCTCGATGAACGAAAATCTTTGCAATGTTTATTGGATTAATCTTTTTCAAATACAGGAAATAATAGATAACACAGGTGTCTCTTCACGTCACACTTATATATTGTTCACAATCGAATGAAAAGAAAAACGACTTCACAACACATGTGTTGCACAAAAGAGCACAAAATAAGAATCAAAGAAAAAATATGAGCATGTAACAGTTATTACTAGGACATGATGGCATGCTTGCAAAGAAAAAAGATAATCATATGTAAGATGGTTTATCACTTTCGGGCTTTTCGAAAGAACTACTGCAATGTAAAATAAAAGGAGAAAGAAAATAAAGAATTTGAGTATTTTTCAGGTTCATGAACAACAATCAAAAGTGTTATTCGCAAGGTCCAATCTAACTTTCAACTCAGAACACATAATCTAAATAGTGTACGAAACTGATGTGAGATTAGATCTTTTGATGCCTTATTGATTTTTTCAGAAATAATGGTTTATTCTTTCCCTTTATATCTCACCAAGGTCTACTTATGGCGAAAAGATGAGCTCTAAAACGCTTGAACACCTAAATATGTTCCCTTAGTCAAATTAAACTATATTAAACGTCATTATTTTCATTAGAGAGATCTGATAGGTATTTCAAGTTGTAAGATAATATATAGCTAAAAATAATGCTCAGCAAATTTGCAATAATTCACTGGAATTTTACCAACAGAAACTGATGAAGATCCATTGTCTGATTCACCAACTCAAAGGTATCCTTATTGAACTATTTCATTTTGATCAAATCATTATATCAATTAATGTTTAGAGATAACTATGAGAAACAATTGAGTAAGAGAATGTTGATTTAACTATTTTATTTCGAAGAAGAAACTTCGAATGTCGGTAGGATGCTTTTAATCAATATCAAATGTGAAATTAGGGCGCAATTCAGTACTAACAAAACTGGTGAAAATTTTTTCAACAGAGCATCGATTACCTTTTCTCTTTGCCACTCAGTTTGTCTCATTGCTTCCATACTTACCAGAGATGTTCACAGGATAGAGCTTAAATTTTGTCGTTTGGACATTTCTGACACTGACGACATTAATATTCATCAATACAACAGTGTATATAATGTCAACAACATATTAAGAGTACATAATATATTTAAGTAGATATTTTTTAGTATTACTTCGATTAAGATCTTTTATTCACTTGCAAATATATCGTTAGGCTAAAAGTAACAAAGCAGATTCAGTGTTTGATCATATTTTACGTTGTAGCATTCATTTCACCTTACTTATGAAAAAAGAACTGAAATATTCATTGAAGTTAACAATAATGTAGCTGAAAATCAATAGGTCAAATATTTATTCAAAATAAATCGTGTGACTACCCTCAAGAAAATGTTGTTACTCATTGATTTGCTTTCTTTATTTAGCATGGACGATTACAGGAAGTATGACAGTTGAACGAAGATATCACACATTATCTGTCTTATCAGATGGAAGAGTATTAGCTGCTGGTGGAACTAATGGTGCTGATGCTCCTCTCAACAGTGCTGAGTTATATGATCCATTGACAGGGAGTTGGATAATAACAGGAAGTATGAGCACTACACGCTATTATCACAGGGCATCTGTTCTGCCCAATGGAAAAGTGTTAGTTACAGGTGGACAAACTGCGAGTAATGTTTTTACGGCTAGCACTGAGTTATACGACCCGTCAACAGGTAGTTGGACGACAAAAGGAAGTATGAGTTATCAGAGAAATCGACATGCAGCAGCGATCCTAGCAGATGGGACAGTGCTAGTTNCGATTATGAATAAAATCTTTCTTTCAATCTCCTCTTTGCCAATGAAATGAATTTCTGTAAAAATAGAGCCAACTACGGTATCGTCAACAACATCGACATCATCAACAACAACTGCACCACCGAGTGAGTATTCTTATAAAACGATTTACATCTTTTTATGTACTTAAAAAGTGAGTACACTACTAAAATCGGTTAGTGTGTCCATCGGGTCGTCCGTCCGCCCGTTCGTTTATCCGATAACTCTCCAAAGTCTGAGCAGTTGACTGGAGTTTTTCTTGCGCTGGTTTGTCTCATGAAAATCTCGGTCGAGTTCGAAGACGAGAACGATCGGTCAAGAAATGGGTTAGATATCGTAAAAATTCTAAAAAGTAACCCCACGGGTCCTGAGGGGGAGTACGAGAATTTTCAAAAAAAATTCTTTTTCTACCACATACATTGCCATACTCAGTTTTATGAGAGCAATCGCGTCCTGAAATATTGTCCAACAGACGTACTATCTCACCTTTAAGCCATATAGTATGGGGGTATGCATAGGTCATGAAGTTCTATATGGTGGCGGTATTGATGGATTATTTTCTGCTATAGTGGGGGGATAGTTTTAGTCCGGTAGTTTTACATTGATAGCATTCTTGCGTTCTTCATTTTCGTTTGAATGCTGTATCACGATCCGGAAATTTTCACGGAATTAGTGTCACAGGAATATCTCGTTTGGATTCGTAAATTCTAGCTGCTGGAACTTGTGTTTAGTAAGTTTTTGAAAAATTCTCTTATGAGACTTAGAATTTTCTGTAGGATAATTGTCATACACTTTTTAGAGTACACATAACTTTCGGATCAAATCCGAAGTTTCCGCATTTATTAAAAGATCACTTTGCTCCCTCTCTTCGTTTTTTTTCTTCATTCTGATATGAAGATCCTATCCATCTCAGTCAAAAATTTGCAGGAAGATTTCTCATCGTTTAGTTTTTTGTCCAGAACGCGTTTCTCGATATAGTTTTCATAATCAAATTATTTATTATCTTTTTCTCACAAATACAAATTTCAATTTCATATTTCCAACTACTATAAGCGAGGCATGTGTAAAGATCAACGAAAAGAATTGATATAAACGAAAACGTTGAATTTCAGAAGAATGCTGTCGGCCAGAACGAATAACTCTTACCATCTCTGATTTAAGTCAAAAAGATGTCTGTAAGCTTCCGTGTTGCTTAATAAAGAGTTGAAATTGAATTCATGTTGCGACTCACGAGAGAACATATTTAGGTCTTCAAGCGTTTTAGAGCTCATCTTTTTGCCATAAGTAGACCTTGGTGAGATATGACAAAACCTGAAAAGGATTCTTCCTCTCGCGTCTTTATTCGCCAGATATCGAATTTCCAAGTGACACCCTCACCCACCCTCAATATTTTTGAACAGAGCATCGGTTACCTTTTCTCTTTGTCACTCGGTTTGTCTCATTGCTTCCATACTTACCAGGGATGTTCACAGGATAGAGCGTCTCTTAAATTTTGTCGTTTGGACATTTTTGACACTGACGACATTAATATTCATCAATACAACAGTATATATAATGTCAACAACATATTAAGAGTACATAAAATATTTAAGTGGATAATTTTTAATGTTACTTCGATTTAAGATCTATTATTCACTTGCAAATATATCGTTAGGCTAAAAGTAACAAAGCAGATTTAGTGTTTGATTATGTTCTACGTTGTAGCGTTCATTTCACCTTACTTATGAAAAAAAACTGAAATATTCATTGAAGTTAACAGTAATGTAGCTGAAAATCAATAGGCCAAATATTTATTCAAAATAAATCGTGTGACTACCCTCAAGAAAATGTTGTTACTCATTGATTTGTTCTCTTTATTTAGCATGGACGATTACAGGAAGTATGACGGTTGCACGAAGATATCACACATTATCTGTCTTATCAGATGGAAGAGTATTAGCTACTGGTGGAACTAATGGTGCTGATGCTCCTCTCAAAAGTGCTGAGTTATACGATCCATTGACAGGGAATTGGACAATAACAGGAAGTATGAGCACTACACGCTATTATCACAGGGCATCTGTTCTGCCCAATGGAAAAGTGTTAGTTACAGGTGGACAAACTGCGAGTAATGTTTTTACGGCTAGCACTGAGTTATACGACCCGTCAACGGGTAATTGGACGACAAAAGGAAGTATGAGTTATCAGAGAAATCGACATGCAGCAGCGATCCTAGCAGATGGGACAGTGCTAGTTACAGGTGGATGGAATGGTGCTGGTATAAACAGTACTGAGTTATATAATTCATCATCAGGCAGTTGGACAATGAAGGGAAGTTTGACCGCTGGACGAGCAGAACCGGTAATATCCAACCTTGCAACGGGACAAGTGTTAGTTGCAGGTGGTCTTGGTGATGGGAACGCTTTTTACAAGATCACTCAAACGTACGATCCATCCACAGGTAGTTGGACAACAAGAGCCTCTATGAGCACTAATCGGTATTGTGGCACGGCATCGATCCTAGCAAATGGGCAGGTGTTAGTCGTAGGTGGAGATACTGGTAGTGGATATACAAACACAGCTGAATTATATAATTCGTCAACAGGTAGTTGGACAACAACAGGAGCAATGTCATTGGGTCGGGCACTTCACACAGCATCCACCTTACCAAATGGGCAGGTGTTAATTGCAGGTGGATTTAATGTTAATCCTCTTAATACCGCTGAATTGTATAATCCGTCGACGGGCAATTGGACAACGACAGCAAGTATGCATGTTGCACGGCAAGATTTTGCGGCAGTCGTCTTACCAAATGGAAAAGTTTTAGTGGCAGGTGGATATACTGGCACTGCTTGTTCAAACACTGCAGAATTATATCAATAAAAATCACTGAAGAAAATATTTTGTTTTCACAAAATAATATAAACTATAAAATTTAATATCGTAAGCAAATTATCGATTTATCATCACCCAAAATCATACAGGTCTTTTTATCAGAACTGTAGTCTTCATATCAATAAAATATATTATATATTTTATTAATTAATTATTTGTTCGGTATTTAATATCAATCTGATTGTTACCCGGAGGAACAGCTCGTAATTTCGTTACAGAATTCCAAAATATCGAAATTGACGGAACTATAAATACGTAGTGTGCAATACTATCGAATAAATAACGCTCGTCAAGGCCGACTCATTTAACCCTCGACTGAATTAGACTTCAACCTAAAACATGTAACACTCATTCCCTGGATTTGTCGACCATTTTCTCAAAATAATAAGAAAGTTTAAAAAAATGCGGGAAATAATCTTAGATTCAAAAATGTATGCCTTAAGGCAATCTTTAAAAGGGTCGTTTTCTCCTTCATCTTCCTTTCTTTTCCTCATCGATTTCAAGATATCTTTGTTTGACTTACTGAAAGACAAAAGCAGACAACAAAAATTGATTGAAAGTATAGATGCATCGAGTCGCTTGACATTTCTCAGAGTATCATTTATGCACACTTATTTTACGTTTATTTGTTATAAACTTCTTATGCAAACGTCTAGTCGGTCGGCCACTCATGGCTAGCCACTAACATGCGTACTCCTTTTCAAACTACATTCTCAGTCGACTCAAGATGTTACACGACGGGTAAAGTCATGATAAAAGCTCGATTCATAACCGAATATTTGGACAACTTGCATGAATGTGCGAGCTGCAGTACAATTATGGATCTCCTCTTCGCCTTTAGGAAATATGAAAACCCTCTCGGAGGCGTTACCCTCGAATATTAATTGAGTTTCTTCTGCAAAGTATTGACAGTTTGTTAAAACCACTTCAATCTGTTCGTACCATAAAGTGCAATTCGACAAACTAACGTTTGTTCGATCGTGGGACACTGAGAGCTAGTCCTTTCAAGAGGCCCTTCTGTTCAAACGTCGATCAGTTCGTGTTAATGTGGTTTCCGAAAGCAAATTAAAAAGAACTGGTAAGATCTGATAACTCAATAGAATTCAAACATATCTGGATTGTTATCAATTTTGAGCATTTCCGAAAAACTGTTTTTTTGACCCTGACACGGACAGACACACACACAAGCTTTTTTTTCGTATGACCTTCTTTTCAGTCGATGGAATAGCGCTCGCCGATAATGACTCGCTTGACCGTCGACTGAAATATTAATTTCGGATAAAAGAATCGTATGGATTGCTTCTCTTTGAAAGGTTAAGTGCATACATCAATATATATATATATATTTTCTCAATCATTGTTCTCACTCATACTCACTATCTTGTCCGCCTGAATATTTGAGGTTATGATAATACCTCGTATTGTTTATTTATCGAAACTCCGAAAATGGAAATCACTGTTGTGAAGGAAGTGTAGCCGATTCAAAGCAGCAATCTTCACCGTTCCATCCTAAAACATATTTGCCTTCCGTCAACATATGCATGAATGCTTGAGGATGACAGAGAGTTCTTTATGAACTTGAATCTGAACCTGGTTGAGTTTGTTCGCTGTCTTAATTCAACTGTTATTGGGAGCCGCTAGTCGCTGGTCAATTTTATCGTTCTTATTTAATAATATCGTCTTTTTCAGTTGAGAAAACAAAAATCTTTGAATTCTTTTGATCTGATCCTCTTCTTATTTACCAGCAGAACGAGTATCCACACAAAAAGATAGTCAAACCTGTATTTCACTACCCGACAAAAGCTTTCACGAAATTGGAATAAGTTTTGAAAAAACAGTGTGCACTGTTTTTCGTCTGCGCCTTTGCATCCGAAAACCGTATCTGCCATTATAATCTCCAGTGAGAACATAATGTTAATGTATTCAGAACATGAAAATAAACCTACCGCTCAAGTGATCTACGCCAAACATAAGTAATTTGACTAACATTGACACCGAGAGAATCTGATTGATCGATTGTTTTCGTATCCCTCTTTATTCTACCTCAGTGTAACATTAGGGTCCTCTACCGCCTTCCGCTCTCTTCCCACACTCGACCTAGCCCTCCCTAATATCATTCTTTGATGTTTTGGATGATTTTGAAAAAAATGTTTTTTTGACTTACCACAAACTCACAAGCAAACCATTTTCGTTTTTTTCGTATCACCCTCCCTTCAGTCAAGGGAAAAATACATTTACGTGTAGCTTCTGATGCTGCTAGACGTTTGTGATTAGCTTGTTCGAGATGATGATCGATCAAGTATTTCCCACCATTAGCAATTGAAAATTTTGATTTACAAACAGAACAATGTGCAAATGATGAATCTGTTCGACATTCTTGTAGAAATGGTGCATATTTCGAGATTTTAATCCATTCTTTATTAAACTTGCAATATCTTTTTGATTTCGAGTAAGACTTTGATGATTTTTTTTTCAAGATCGAAAGACAACTTAGAAATAGAATCAGATGATTCTTCGAGGATTGTTGTGTTTTCAAATTCGAATACTGTAGAATGACTCTCTTCCTCAATAACTTCCATATCCGGTGTAATAAGATTGTCGTTGTTCATTTAGTACCTAATCAAAATCTACAAAAATTCCTCATCACTTTAAAATAAATCTGTAGATATTTTTTAAATAGTAAACAATAGCTGATTAAAAATATCATTCAGTACCAATCATGTGATAAAATAAAAATGACCAAAGAATAAGAATTTAATTGCTATGAATAATGACATTATACATTGGACTTGAATAAGCCAATAAAATTGGCTCTTCGTACCTTCATATGAATAAATATGTCGATTATCGCCAAAAGAATCCATAAATTCGAACAAATTATATGATTTTAATTTGTTGTAAAGGAAAATATTTCAAATGGGATACAGATGGCAACCCTGATTCAGGATATACATATCTTCCATCAAAAACTGTCACGATATATATGTTTGAATAGGAATGTCAACTGTTTGTTTTTTAATTAGTAAAATAAACTTTGAACATTCCTCTTTCAAATAAAAAAAAATTTGTCCAATCTGGTCGAGAAATAAAGAAGATATTCAATTTTCTTTTTGTTAAATGACTTTCCAGACACTCTGTAAACATTTTTGGATTAGATATGGGTCACTGTGGTTATATTATTACATACATTTCAAAATTTATTCCAAATAAATAAAATAATTACAAAGAAGGAGACTCTATTCTTATTATGGAATATCAAAGCTGATGTAGATCGACTATCGAATTTATCATAATCAAAGTAATAACGATATAATTTTTGAATTTGTTGAATATTATTCATTCTGTTGCATTCTGGAATATTACAACGTATTATAAATTCATGATTACTGGTTTTTCTTGTTTTTAAGAAATATGCTCGTTCATCATCAAGAAGATTAGTAATTATTTCCGTAGTTTTTAAACAATAAGCACACATTGAATTTGTTATTCCATCGATAGACGCCAAACATCTTAAACATGAATCACCAGCTGGTTCTTTTGAATAGCATGTATCAGGATTTGTAAAATTGGTATATTTTGCACATGTTAGTGGAANTAGAAAGATCGCTCATAAAATTTGCAACAACCGACGGGATTTTTCTAGTCGGATTCCAATGCAATTCCGTTTCCAGGAATCCGATCGGATTTTGTCGGATGGTCGGATCCGGTAAGATCCGGTCGGATCCGGTAAGATCCGGTCGGATCCAGCATCGGATTTGTTGACCTGGGTAATGTCGTCACGAAAATAAAAATCATATACTTGTTGTTTCACAATTGGTGATAATGCTTGCTGTTTACGTTCAATTTTTTTCTCTAATTTAATAATATTTAAATTTGCAGCAATTTCTGTGATTAATTCAAACTGTTTATCTTTGTCTACAGGCAAAGCATTGATAACTCTCTTAAAAGCTTTGGCTTTGGATTGTTTTGTTCGAAACGATGATTCCGTTGGTGATGGTCGAGTTGGAGCTAATTTCGACTTTGAACGAAAATGATGAAGATTTAATTTTTGACGTAAACGAAATATTTTCAGTTTTGCTGGTGGCATTTTCAAACGAGCAAGTCGTTTACGTTTACGATCTTGTTTTTTCATTAATTCATGTAAACCTGCTGTTTTCTTTTTTTTCCCGATAACGACGGGCTCTCTCAGCACCGGGAAGAGCCATCAGAAAAATATGAATTAAAGGTTTATCTAAAACATGAAAAACGAAAAACCTGATGAATACTTCATGTATAACCATGTCACAAACATGTGTTGTAAAACCAATAAACAGGTTTAATGACTTGTACAATGCATGTATAAAAGTAATTGAATATAAATTCTAATGTGCAGCGAAAGAAAGTTACGTGTATTTTAAAATACACACAACATTCTATATGATAAAATGAAATTCCGTAACGCAGTGTTTTGTGTATAGTTAACTAATGTTAGAAGTGATGATCAATCAAAATTAGTTCGTTGGATAGCTCTTGAGAAGATCTATCTAGTGATGCCATTTTTCGAAATTTAATTTATAACCTAAGAGATAGAAACATACTATCATCTACTTTCGTTACAGAATTTCATGAAAAACTCAGGAGTTTTGCGAACAATAGAATTATTCACATGATTAGTATATTTTTTTTTCACACACATTTTCTGAAAGTGCGCACCTTCTTGCATGTATTCATGAAATATTTAATCCCGTTGTACCTATTTATGAACGCTTTTTGACCGTTGATTGTTCATGGTCCAGAGATGTCACTATTTGATACACTCATTGGAGAATAGAACAGCGCCACTCTCGATGTATAACTATATTTTGTGTGACTAGTGGCACTATTTTGGTACACTACCAGATGTATTTTAACGAGATATGAACTCATTTTCTTGCAGTCTTAGATTCAAACCCTTCGCAACGAAGGGGACCTATGGCTGGCCGTGCCCATATATCGAATTAAATAAAGAGAGAGAGAGACTGAGAGGAAGAAAGAAACAGGACGATGAAAAAACAAAAGAATGCGACAATATATTGTAGGAGAAAAAAAATTAAAAAATAAACAGCGTCGCCACACATTTCATTTTTACGCCAATATTGGTTCGATGAAGAAAGAAAAATCTGAAACAAACAACAAACAAAAGTGTGGAATATAAGAGTCTCAAACACACGGGAAATTCCCCAATTTTAATTCTGTTTTAAAGTAATACCTGTTTGCGCTAAATACTGCATCACCAATCAAAAAGAAAGGCAAGCCTCTTTGCTGTATATGTAATGTACATAACTATATAAATGTTGATTTGTTCGGAAGTGTCACTATCGTATGGATATATTTTATTTGATAGAAGATAAGTATTGAAAATCCATTAGTTCACTATGCGTGAAAATTGATCTAAGATTTTTCATATACACATAATATTTTTCTCAATGTGATTCTTTAACATGTACAGGGTGCCCGGAAAGCCATTTAACAAAAAGGAAATTGAATATCTCCTCTATTTCTCGTCCAAATTGGCCAAATTGTTTTATTTGATGTTAAGATCTCCTACATGTATTGCTCAAAAGTGTCACCATTCACATCAATACAAAATTTTAATCTTTTCAAAATACCATCGGAAACATTATTTAATATATCTTTTCTTATAGCTTTGATTTCTCTTTCAATTCTGCCGTTCAAATCATCAATGTCATTCACTCTTGTTTTGTACACATTTGTTTTGATGTAACCCCATAAATAAAAATCAAGTGGTGTCAAATCAGAAGATCGAGACGTCCAAGAGATTGAACCACCTCTACCGATCCATCTATCGTCAAACTTTTTCTTTGACTATGCACGAACTTCTTTTGAAAAATGTGATGAGGCACCATCTCGCTGGAAGATAATTTTATTTGTAAGTCTTTTTTTTGTATACTCGGATAAAAATGACTTTTGAACGTATCGAGATAATTATACTGATTGACCGTTTCATCTTCAAAAAAAAAATATAGACCGATTATTTCTTTGTTAGACATTGCACACCAAAATCGGTGTGAAGCTGGCACCATTCGATGCAGAATCAAATTCTGCGTCGAACAGACTCTTTTCCATAAACAGGAATTCGTTCTGGATAGAGATATTGCGTGCCGACTGTCGAAAAACGATGCATATACATGTGTACAGGATACATAAAGATCAAAGAAAACTTTCCTCCTGAACGTTTTCCCATGAATTGAAATGCTAACATTCGATTCAGAATTAAATTCTGCATTGAATAGAATAGGTTTTATTGACGGGAATTCGTTTTTAGAAAATCCTTGGTTTGATGGTGCTAGCTTCACTCCGATCACACCAAACACTGACTTTAGCGGATTTTATTGCACTTTCCACAGTAATGTATGGATTTTTCTCTGCCAAAATACGACAATGATGCTTGTTCACAAGTCTAGAAGTATAAAAGGTTGATTTATCAGAGAAAAAAATATTACCGTGATTTTCTGGATCTTCAAGAATAGGCATCAAATGCTCTGCCATCCCCACATATAAATCCATATCTTCATCGTACAGCTTTTGAGTATTATGCATCATATAAGCTTTATATCCAAGTATATCACGTATTATTCGATGTGCTTGATGTTTTGTAATGCTTGCTTGTCGGGCAACATTTCTTACGGTGTTTATTGGTTCATTTTCTAAGACTTCGTATACTTTTTCAATTTTCTCTTCACCTATTGTTCACAGTCTTCCTGTACGAGCTAAGTCTTGAACTGAGTCGGTTTCAAGAAACTTCTGATATATTGATAAAATGGTCTGTCGAACTGGAATATCAACGCTCCATTGTCGTTGCAATTCGCGAATCGCCGTTGTAAGAGATTCAAATTTGGCCACTAAAGCTACTATTTTAGTTCTAATTTCTAAAGAGTATGTCATATTGTGATCTGAAGTAGTAAAATAAACTTTGAACTTTCCTCTTTCAAATAAAAAAAATTGTCCAACCTGGTCGAAAAATAAAGAAGATATTCAATTTTCTTTTTGTTAAATGACTTTCCGAACACTCTATAAACATTTTTGGATTAGATGTGGGTCACTATGGTTATATTATTACATACATTTCAAAATTTATTCCAAATAAATAAAATAATTAGAAAGAAGGAGACTATATTCTTATCATGGAATATCAAAGCTGATGTAGATCGACTATCGAATTTATCATAATCAAAGTAATAACGATATAATTTTTGAATTTGTTGAATATTATTCATTCTATTGCATTCTGGAATATTACAACGTATTATAAATTCATGATTACTTGTTTTTCTTGTTTTTAAGAAATATGCTCGTTCATCATCAAGAAGATTAGTAATTATTTCCGTAGTTTTTAAACAATAAGCACACATTGAATTTGTTATTCCATCGATAGACGCCAAACATCTTAAACATGAATCACCAGCTGGTTCTTTTGAATAGCATGTATCAGGATTTGTAAAATTGGTATATTTTGCACATGTTAGTGGAACAGAAGGTTGTGTTGTATATAATAATGGTACAATAGCTGTTGAATTATGATCTATTGTTATTGATTCGAATAAGAATTTACTGAATCTTGGTTCATTACAACCATCTGTCAAACAATGATAAGTAACGCCATATATATATGATCCATCACTTTTTATATACAGACCAAGTAGAGCAAAATCTTCTTTGTAACCGAATGCTTGATGAGCTGTTTCCGATTGAACTGTTAAATATCCAGTATCCCTATCATAAAAGTCGATTGCTATTGTACAATACAATTGATCGACATTCTTTTTGGTGCAGTTAGACGGCGTTGTGATGTTTGAAGCTGTTACTGTCATTTTATCACATTGATAACAAATTAAACTTGAACCAAATTTAATTATTAGAAAAAAGAAAAGAAAACTTAAGCTATGTGAAAATATCATGATAGAACTAAAATCAAGGAAGAAGAAAACTTTTTCTGATTGACTCTCTCAATTTCTGTCACCGTGTTCTTATTTAAAAGGCTAATGTTTTTTTTAAATATCTTTTTGTAACGCTTGGTCATATGCTGCATCATTCTCAGTCATGATAAGAGATGTAAGTCGACAAATAATGACAAAAAAGTTTCACGCACCTTTTTGTTTTATCTATTTATATCACTCATCGTAAGGTGTGCTAATTGAAAAGTGAGGAAGAGTGTTGACCTGATTTAGATTATCGTTCTATGAGTTGTTCATTAATTCGAAGAAATATATGTCGCAGCCGGTTAGAGAATTTATAAAGTTGAGATTGGAATGTACGTAAATATCAAAAGAGTATCAAAATCTATATTTTTTTACGTTTGAAAGAGAAATAAATAGAATCTATAATTGTGCACGAAAATATTTTGAAATTTCGAAAGATCGTTGAGAATTCTATAAAATGGTAAAGAAAAGTTTTAACAATTGATCATATGTTGTTGTTTCGAAGAAAGATTGAAAAATTAGGAAAAAAAGGCGATTTTATTTTTCAATCAAAAGAATTTTGATGCGGGACATCCCACGAAAAAATCTTTTTCATAAAATCGCTGATATCAACGGATTTTTTTTATGACACCGCGGTTTCATCTATTGTGGTTATTAGTAGTTTCCTATCGCGCGGTATAGAAGTCAATCATCGCAATTCTAGATATAGTAATAATTGTGTGTTAAATTTCAGAGAGTCTTTACTTCATTATTTCTGAGCATTTGAATACTAAATTGCTATGAGATATCACTGATTCAACTCACTTGAGCTTTCGTGGTTGGATATATGTTCATAATGTCGTTACCGGAACCTAATACCTTGCATCTGATAGGAAATATAATTTTACAATAAGCGTTTTGAGGGCGAGTACTGTCCGCCGTCATCTTCTTAACATAATGTAGATGCCCTTATGTTCTTTAAAATATTAGTAAACCTAACAAATCGTAAACATTTTGAACATTATACGATATAATCATAAAACAGAATATTCATCGATTTTGTATTAATCACCACAAATTTATTGTATTTATCAATTATTTGCATACAATGAGTTCAATAAACGATGTATTAATGAAATTCATTTACCAAATTAATATTTATAGATATTACTGAAAACAAAAATAGTAAACCACTTTTGGAAGCAGATTTTCCAATGAAGACCGCGACTTGAACCCCGATAACCGTGGTGATATCATTCTACGGTTATTATTGTTTTTCTAAACCGCGGTGTAGATGTCAAAAGCTGCGTTCCAATCAAACCGCGTACTACTAGTCTATGACCGCTGTTCATCAATCAAAAAATAAGTGTGTAAGGACTTTAACGATGTCGTGCCCTACTTTTTCGTAACTTTTCACACAAATTTTCTTGTGTGACTCTGTCATTGAAAAATGACATAGGAGTTCAATGGGACTTGCAAAAGTTCCTACAGCGCTCCTCGAAGGGCTCCCCTCAAGAGTAGAGAATGACTCAGCCACCGGATACCATATTGGTCCGGTTGTCTGCGGAAAGTGATGTTTTGAAGCGATTATTGACGGTTTTTTTAAACTGCAGAAGATAGACCATTAATGAAGTTGCCTGAAACCGCGATGCCAAAAGCAGCGGTTTTGTGCTTTCTTTTGTCGTGGGGAAAGAGCTCGATAAAAAAATGAAGTCAGGTGAATTAACTCTTTTGTTCCAGAAAATAATATCAAGAAACGCTGTTTCGTCTGCAGCCATACATTTAAGCGAAAAAAAAACGGAGTGCTATAAGGTTTTATTGCACAGATTGTGATGCTTCAAAAGACATAAGACTTTGAAAGCTTTTTTATATTCACATTTTTGATGAGTCTGACAAAAATAAATCATTTTTAGAAAGATAAAAATTTGTAATTTTTTCTCAAAATGAACCGGTCTCGAAAGGGTTAAAAACAACTTCGTCCAAAAGAATCGATTTTTCATCATTGAAAAGCGAATAAAGTCAGGTTTTTTCTTGTTTATTTTTACATGTGAACTAAGATTATGTCCTCCTGAGCCATTTAATCAGTTTGATTTCATACAAATGTTCTTTGTAGAGAGGCGACGGTAATATATAAATGAAGAAAACAGCAATCTGTGGAGCAAATGAAAGATAATAAATCACTAATGTGCCTACTGCAAATCGATCACTGTCAATAAATTGACAATGATCAAAAAATAAAAGTATTATTTGAGGTAATTGAGTGATAAAACAAACAAACGGTGCTAGTAGAAATTCCATACGATTAGACACAACTTGAATAAATGACTGTAGACGTGTTTGATGATTTAAATTCGCTTTAGTTCTACTAACATAAATAAGAAGAATCAATGTTGAAATAATATTAAAACTAAATGGAATTAGCTGATGAAGCAATGTAACCAATCGCAAATAAGTTACAGTTAAAGATGATAGTTCAAGGACACACCAACTTTCCGAACCATTTGCTGTTGTATCATGAACGATTTTATATGAAAATATATAGATTAGACTACTGGCTAAAATAACGAAAATAGTAATAATAATAAGTCGAACGGCGAATTGAGATGAACGAACAAATAACCATGAATTAGGTCGGATGACTAAGAGAGATCGAGTGATAGTAACAAATGCAACTATCCAGGAATTTATAAACCAAGTAGATACCATTATGTATGGTAAAGTTTTACAAAGATTTTGATTTACATTTATAAATAACAAATATATAATACGAAGTAGAAGAAAACTAAGAGTAAGTTGACTGATGATACTATTTAATAATAGATAAATGTTACACCCATCAAAGGCAACTTTCAATAATGATGATGATGATAAAATAGGTAATCGACGAGTGATAACTTTGTGAAAGGTAACAATACTTATTCCATTAAAAATAAGACCAAAGATGAAGATCGAACTTGGCACAATCAGGTGATATTCAGATGAGAATGATACAGAAACGAGTAACGTCTCTAAAGTAACTGTAAATTGACGAAAAGTATATTGACATAGTTTACCAGTTGTACATAATGGACATACACAAATAAAATCACTTTTATTATAATAATCACCATGGATACATCGGCCGTTATTTAAGCAAATACCTTTTTGACGACATTCACTCAATTCTAAATGGAGTGAAACGCAATCGGCACGTGCCGGGTTGAAATCACATCGACAAAAATATCGTTCTGTTATAAAACATGCAATATTCAAATTCTGTCGACAGATGCTATGAAATTCACGTACATCGACAGTTTCCTTATTATTTATTGTTAATATGTCACGACATTTGACTGAATTCGCAATGTTTATTGCGTATTGAGAGCGTGTGTGACTTGTACAATTCACATAGAGTAAATAAATCACTGTTGTAACACTAGATACGTGTCGTTGAAAATTTTGTATAAGACTAACTTCCATAAGTGCATTTTGTGATATAAAGGAGATTGTTAAAGGTATCTGCTGAGATGAATATATTAAACTTTGTTGTCGTAACACAAGATATCCTCGACGAAGTCCATATAATTGCAATATAAAAGCAGATAAAAAATGTGACATTTGATCGGTTTTATCGTTTGAATACAATGTCATTACAGCAGATTTGATTTCACAATGTGTACCTCCATAATATCTATCACAAATACATGTAAAATATCCGATTTCAGAATGAGCATGACATGTTCCATTATGTTGACAAGGATTAGACCAACAAGCAATATTCTTCAACGAACAAAGCGGCGGTAATAAACCCTCAGGACAAATACAAAGCCATTCTTGTTCTCGACTGACTACGGCATTGTCCAATACACGACATTTTGCTGGTGATACACACGGACATGATGGAGAATGAATTCGTTTTTCACAAAAACGTCCAAAATATTCTGAAGAACATTCGCAATAAATATCGCCTAGATTTTGTTTATTGACAATTACATGACATGTTCCACTATTTTGACAAAGTGATTGAGAACAAATCCACGGAATTGAGTGAACTTCTTCTAATGGAAAACGTAGAATCTTTGCTAAACGATACGATGGTAAAAAATCGAGATTAATAGAATATTCCCAAACTGATAATAAACGAACATTTGATGAATTCGAATGAAACGCTTCAAATCGAACACTATAATAACAGACTAATTTCGGTCGTGAATAAAGTAAATATCGATCATATTTTCTTTGCACATTTTCAATCGAGTCAATGAATTGTGTATAATCAATTATTTGACTCTGATTACAAAGAAGAAATGCATAAATGTGTAATATTTTGGTTAGATCAGTTCGATGTAAACGATCTAAGCTAACTCGTACTGGAATTCTTCGGCTAAAATATTGACATCGATCTCCATAATGATTTGGTGGACAAAAGCATGCGATAGTCCGACCTTTGGACGTATTTTCTTCTATGATGAGACCTTGATTACATACCAAAGCAGATAACTTCGAATTGGTCTGTGTTGTGAATTGCAAATTAGATTCTATACTATTGTTATTGATTATTTTCACAAGATTTGCTTCCTCTTTTGTACCCATGCAAAAGTCATAATAATTAGACCAAGAGACTTTGGTTGGTCGATAAGAACTCGACTTTGGACACCAGAATAAATGATCATTATCAGAACATATACGTCTTTCACATCTCGAGTGGTTAACATATATCCCATTTAAACATTGATATTTTGTATAATTATAAGAGAAATTTGTTGTTTTAAACCAATAGCATAACTGTTCGTCAGTACCATCTTCGCAATCTTTAATCCTATTACAAATACGATCGGCTGCTAAACACGAACCATTTGCACATCGAAAACGATCACCTAACATTTGATTGTCTTCTTTACATTGAATCGTATTACGTTCATCGCGTGCGCCGAGACAATCGATTATATAATCACCTGCTTGAGAACCATTAATACAAGGACGAGAGACGTTTGAATCACGAATAGAGTCTTTTGTTATGCAGAAAAATTCTCTGCTATGATCACATTGGCTTTCTAATGAGAAATAGAGCTTTGCGGTGGTGCAATTAAGTTCGTCTTCACCGTCTGCACAGTCCCATTCACCATCACACCGCCACGCTGGTTTTATACATTGTCCAGTTTGATTACATTGAAGAACGGATTTCGAACAAATCCAATTGCTACAATTACGCTCATCATTGCCATCCCGCGTGTTCCATATAGAATTACAATAATAATGAAAACGAAGACGAGCTTGCCGAATTTTTTCACTATGACGCAAGGTCTCGCATGCATATAAATCATTCTCTAAGCACTGTTGCTGTTTCCAATTCATTACTGAAGACATTTCATCAGATCCGTCAAGACAATTTTGAATCCCATCGCCTATTTGATTCGTGCTAACATATTGAATCGGTATCGATGACTCACATCGATATTGATAAGGTCGATTTAAATTTTCATCAGCCAAAACAAATTCATCTTCTCCATTGAAACAATCTAGATGACCATCATTAATGCGTAAATCATTGATAAATCGCTGGTTTGATTTACATCGCCGTAAGTTGGATATATTTCTTGAGATTGACAACTGTGAAATCGCAGATGAACTCGAACATATTATGTGACGAAATGGCCAGTGATTGTATTTTATTAATATATCGATAGGTGAAATACAAAGTGATTGATTTAATGTAGTTAAGATTCCGTTGCAAGTCACCGATCCATTAAAGCAATAATAATGTGGCCTGCGAAACGCCTTATCATATATATCACGAAAACTATGGTATAGTGCTGCCAATAACGCTGTTGTATTATATCGCGTCAGGACATTAGCTGTAAGAAAAGGATACTGTGGAAAATCGAAATGTGAAGAACAATGTTCTTCAAGCGATTTAATAATATTCTTTCGTGTCATCAGTAATTGCCGAAAAGTTCTTGTACAATGATAATCTTCGGTTAAATTTTTTCGAACAAAAGAAGCATGCATATATTCACACGATCCATCGTTTTCTATTGTTGATAATTTTCTACCAGTTGCTATTTCACAGCGATGAAACAGGTCTCGATAGTTACTACATCCATCTTCTTGATCATATAGATTTTTCCATGATAGACATTCGCCATCACCGCATGAAAACGGTCGTTGGGCGTCACAGAAACGTTCAGTGCAATCGAAATTATAATTAGATAATCGACATTTCTTCGTTGCGGTTATAAACCGCTCAAGTCGATGTTCATCCGATTCATCTTGACAATCGAAAGCAGAGTCAAAAAACCATTCTCGTGGTATGCACATACCATTTCTACATCGGTATTCATTCGAATCACATTGGTTGATTTCTAACAGTTCACAATTGAATTCATCCTCACCGAACTGACAATGTTCAATTCCATCACAGACGTAACGCCAATCAAGACAACTTTTCCCCATATTACATTTTATATCAATCAGACACCATTGATCATAAAATGAGACATAGGCAGTGCTACTTAATTGATTAGACAAAAGATCTACAGGAGTAGCCATTGGTTCAGGTAATTGATATTGACAATTCAAACCAAAATTGTCTTGAGAACAATTACAGATGGATTCGTTTTCATATTTTCTTGATAATAAGGGAGATAATGAACGATAATGAGCATACAATTCTGCCATGTCAATAGGTATAGACCATGCGAGTAAATTTTGTGCACTTATATTTTGCATGGATAGCTCTAAAAAAGATTTTCTATTCACGTTTGAGCATACAGATGAAACAGAATATCGTGATATAGATGAATTTGTTGGTCGACGACAAAACCAAATTTCATCCAGAAACAAACAATCGTAATACTGCATAAATGATGATGGTAACGATCTATATAGTGTCCATTCATGATTTGTTGATTGTACAATTTTCAAGGCAAATAATAATATAATGAAAATAGCGACACGTATGTGCAACATCCTTTTTATATAATCATATCAAATAGAAATAGAAATAGCGATAAGACAGTTGCTTCCTTTTTTTCTTCTGTATGGAATAGAATAGATTTATTTCATCAGGGATCAAATATGAGTACGTGATTATCTTAGCTTGTGATTATATAAGCAGACATGATAGATGGCACGTATTCAACAAATTAGAAAACTTTATTATTTGATGGTATCTTTGTGAGTAGTGTAGAAATCGTTAACTCGATTCGAGTATTAAAACTTTTGTTCGAATTCTAAACCGAAAGATTTAGAAGTTGAATAGTTTAAAACTCGAGTTAAAAAAAAGTTCCCTTTTCTGCAAAAAAGGGTTATAGTCGCGTTAAAACTGGTTAAAGTTTCTTTGTCCAGCCAATCAGATTGCAGCATTTCACAAATCAATGAAAACTTAACGATGTTCCTTACGAAGTGATTGTTGCAAGGTAGTCGAGGTCGAGCATCTCGAGTCCGGTGTTAGTTTTTCGAAATTCCAATTCACTAATTAGCTAATTAGTAATTAAGCAATGAAAATTTTTTTGGCAGCCGAGTAAGGGTCGACCGAAGGGTAATCGGGGTCGAGCATCCTGAATCCGATGTTAATTTTCGCAAATACTAACTAATTAATTAGTTAATTAGCTAATGATTAGTTCTTATATTGTCAAGTAAGGGTTGACCGAAGGGGAATCTGTTGTTAGATTTTCAATAAAAAATCCTGTTTTGTTTTTTTAGAGGATAGTGTTTGAAGCAGCAATACCCAAGACGAGTAATCCGGGCTCTGGATCCCATCGGATCCTGTCGGAAAACCTACTAAATCCGGCAGATTCCTTTAGGAATCCGATAACTTCCGACAGCATCCGACAAAATCCGTGTCGGAAATCAGCGGAATCTTTGGTACAGGAATCCGATCGGAAGTAGTGGGGCGACGGATCCGACAATTTCCGACACCCGGATCCGATAGTCGGAAAATCCCAGAATGGACAGGATCCGATAGGTTTTTACAGGCTTTTCTGATTACAATTATTTGTTTTTTATTCACTTTTTTTGAGCATTTATTTTCAATTTATTTGCATAAAAAACAACAAAAAACTGTTTTACAATGACGAAAAATAGATACATGAAAGACAACTGAAACATGGACGATTCTTTTCTAAACAGAAAACAAATAAGAGTTAAAAACTTCTTACCTGGGTAACTAGAATCTCAGAAGAAGTACATATTCGATAAATGAAGAGTTACTTACCAACACTATCTCGTCTTGCTTAGTATTTGTACAAATAAAAAGCACATACCATGAAAAAAGTTTGAATTTTTACAGTATCTGCTAGT